CAGCTGTGGATTTGGTGGGAGCGATGAATCATGTCCTACTCACTATGGAGGACAGCGAGAGAGGCAAGTGAAGACCACCTTGGAATGTGCTCTACCTCTAACTACCTTTATCATCCCCCAAGACTTGCCTTATGGGAAGAATCCCAGGAGACTCTCTGTATATCTTCACTATACCATTACAGCAGCTTGATAGCACTTTAAATTGAGGAAATCTGGACAGGACACATGATGTGCAGTGTTTGGGAACTGCCAGAAGGGCATGTGGAAAGGATGATATGGAGGCTGCTATGGCTTCCCCTCCATCTTCTTCACTCTGTCTAATGCTAGGGCGGCACCTCCATCTTTAGCTGAACATCGGAAGGACAGGATGCTAAGCTGTTTTGAAGACTTCCTCCCCTGAAATAATAAATAAATCTATAACCAGATGTGAATAACTGTCATAAAAATAGGAAATTAAACAATACCCCAAACCATTCCATTGAGATGTGAGAATTAATGGCAAGTACAGTACAAGAGAAGCAGCAGTTTTGGGATTGAAAATTAATACCTCTGTTGAGTAGCTCAGAAAATTTTAAGTTCGTCTTGCTGTAAAAAAAAAAAAAATCCCCCTGAAATCCTTAGCATTATACCTGAAATAATTGAAAGGTATTAAATTTAACCCTGAGGACTATCTGTCAGAAAACTTCCTAATAAGATCAGTTTAACAGATAATAGCATACTTACAGAGGCCTGGGCCTATTTAAATGGAACAGGAACATATCCATTGATCTGTGTCAGAATAAGTCCTAATTACATCTAGTTGGGCAGCGGGGTTAGTCCAGGGCTGCCATATGTATCCCATCATATTGCTTCATCTGGGGTAAATAATGGTCATATGAGAATCTGTGGTGGGCTGATTTTAGCCCTGATAAAATGCCCCCAAGTGGCAAATACTTCACTCTCTCCCAGACCCATGGGACACCATATATCCTGGAGGACCTTGATGAGGAAGCCATAAGATTACTCTGCGGATAATTCTTGTTATGTATTAAGCATATTTAAAAGCTCAACATCCCCTTGGGAGATGCCAGTGTTTGAAATCTGCTCAACAGATGGAACAAAACTTTCATCGCTCAGAGTTGCTGGATGGAGCACAACTATACAGAAGTTACTCCAGGAATTACTGGGTACGTAAGAGTCCAAAGAGAGATAAAGAATGCGAGGAGAACTTAAAAAGAGCCCTGCTCATTCAGTTCAAAGGCCTAATTAGCCTAGCATTCTGTTCCTAGATTAGATAATCTGGTATCTATGCGGAGATCGCAAGCAGGATGTCAACTTAATAGCACCCTCCTGCTCATATTCCCCAATACATTGTGAAGAACAACTAGCTCAGATGCTGGAGGACTTAGACCATCCTTGTGACCAAAAAAAACCTTTCATTTCATTCATACCTAAGGTGAGAAAGCCTGATAGAACTGCTGGATAGCTCAGTGGTTTTGCAGAGCTAGTGGTTGGGGGTTCGATTCCCCCACTGGGCCTCCTCGAGAGGAGCTTGACTCAGTGATCCAGCGGGTCCTTTCCAGCTCTGCAGTTCTAAGGTTATTTCAGAGCAGTTCTCGTGAGCCATCTGTTCGTGTTGGGCAGAGACAAAGGCAAAAGCTAGGTCTAAAATGCCACAACATTGTGCTACGAAACTCCTGCTTCCAGGATTTAAAGCCGAGAAGGGCAAAATGGAGCTCCCGGACACACACCGTTCCTGATGAACAACTCCATTTTCCCCCCTCACAAAACAATCAAACAAAATTCGCTCAGAAAGTTCACTTGAAGCCTCAAGGGTATGAGGGGGAAATTTTCCCCAGGTTTGGATGGGTCTTGTGGTCAGGAACCTCCTGAAAAAAATTTTAGATTAAGAAAATTAGCGACTAGAGGAGGTAAGGTGGACTTATTCAGTTTGAGAAAATCATTTTTCCAAAAAACAAACAAACTTAAACTCGCCTTTCAGTCTTAAGAGAAATCCACTGCAGCAATCTTTCATCATCATCATGTACTAACAAGTCAATGCCAACTCATGGGAACCCTTTTCAGATTCTTCCAGTTACAGAATACTCAAAAGTGGTTTCCATTCCCTTCTTCTGGGGGTGCGTTGAATCACAAAGCTTGCCCAAGGCTACATAGGCTGGCTTTTCTCCCAGGAGGCCCAGT